GAAAGAGGTGAAATACAGCCTGCTTTCCTGGTCTTAAGACCCAGAGCTTTGGCTCTTCGCCTCAAAAGGCTACTTTCTGCAAAGAGCTCCCTCAGAGCCACTGCCATCCCTCCCTTCTTCTCCCCACCATCCCTGCTCAGGCCCAGGCCCTGCCACCCTCTGCAGCTAATTCACCTCTGGCCGGTCTCCTCCTCACAGCTCCATTGCTTTTGTTCTTCTCGGACATGTCCCACCTGCATGGAAGCCTGCCCTGTCCTTCCTATTGCCTCCAGCACTGGTTTGCTGAGTGCAATGGAGTGCTGTTGTCTGTCCTGTCTGTCCCTCTCTCCAGCTCCTCGCCTGAACCTCTAGTCACTTGGTCTGAGTTCTTTGGGTGCTGGCTACAGTTAAGCACATTTCCCTCCTTCATCCCTGGGCTCTGGGGTGGGAATGGTTTTACCATCCCCTGTGCCCGGTGGGGTGGGGGAAACCGAAAGGATCGTTTTCTTTGCTCTGGCAGAGGAAGATATACCCTTTTCTCAGAAATGGAGCTGTCATGGATCAAAGTTCAGGCTCCCTTTCTAAGGAGTTCTTGCAAATCACACTTGATCTTCCCCCCCCCTTTTTAATTTGCTAGCAGGTGAATGCACTTGGTATAGAGGGAGAGAGAGAGAAAGAGGGAAAATGAGAAAGTGAGAAAGCACCCCCCCCCATGGAGGATGGCCACACTGCAATCCCGCCTTCTCCATTTCTACTTTCAGGATTTGGGGCACACACACACACACACACACACACACACACACACTCATCTGGCACGTTTTTGAAGCTGCTAAGTACAGGACTCAAACCGTACAGTCAGTCATGTGGGATCCAGCTGCCTTTACCACTACACCACAGGCTAGCCCCAAACTCGCACTTCGTTCAAGGAATTTTAAACACTGTGAAGCAATGGAGTAGATGGAGAAGAACATCTTGGAGTCTTTTTCTGAGCCTGCTATTTGAAGGTGTGATGAGACCCAACAAAAAGGCCCTTTGTCCCCTGGGTCCAATCCCTAGAGTCACCGGAGGCCCAACTCAAGATGTGCAGACCAGTCTGCAGCCAGCGCCCTCCCACCTGGAACTTGGGCAGACTTCCAATTTTTTTTTTTTTTTTTTAAAGAGGTTTCTGCTATAGGGTGTGTGTGATCACTGGAAAGAGAGAGAAACAGAGAGTCAAAAAGGGAGAAATCCCTCCCCAGGGAGGATGGCCACACTGCAATCCTTTCTCCTCCATTCTCCTCTTGGGATTTTGGGCATGCATGCACATGCACCTAGTGTGAATTTAAGCTGCCAGATCTGGGTCTTGAACAGCAGACAACTCTGTGGGAGTCCAGAGACATAACCATTATGCCATTTGCTGGTCTCCAGACTTCCAAATTTTATCACAGTGACTATACTGCAGAATACCACCTCTCTGAACCCCTGCACTGAGCAGAGTTCTAAACCATCAATTAGGCTATGTAGATGTCCACCTTAAACAGGCTAAACATGGTCCCCCAAATCATGTGACTTTTACCCAGCTAACCAGGGTTCTCCGTGGCAGAGAAACTGGGACTTTTTTTCCTACTCCTTTCTATCTATCTGAACTGTCAAAATTCTCTACAATTAACATTTATTTGGGCCAGCAGGTGGTGTGGTGGTTAAGGATGCTGGACTCCCACATTACTGACCATGGTTCAAGTCCTGGACCTGGCAGTTTGCTTTCTCACTTTCCTTCTCTCTCTCTCTCTCACTCTGTCCCTCTCTGGTCATATAAAAATAAATAAATAAATACATAAAGTTAAATAAAATAATTCTTAAAAAACATAAATCTGTTACATATATCATTAAAAAGAAAAGGCTAGGAACCAGCAGAAGGCATAATGATTACATCATTGGACACTCACAAGTCAACCCAGGGTTCGAGTTCCAGACCTGGCAGCTTAAAACTCACACCAGGGACGTGTTTGTGCATGCCCAAGATCCAGAGAGGAGGATGGAGGAAAAGAGATTGCGGTATTGTCATCCCCCCCGCGGGGTGATTTCTTGCTTTCTGTCTCTCTGTCCCTCTCCAGTGAGTATACGCACCCTATAGCAAAAACCTATCTCTCAAAAAAAAGGGGAGGCAGTAGGTGGCGCGGTGGTTGGGAGCGCAGGACTCCCACATGGCCAACTGCAGTTGGAGTCACGGACCTGGCTGCTTGCTTTCTCACTTTCCCTCTCTCTCTTTCTCTGTCTGTCACTCAGTCACTATCTGGTCAAAATTAAAAATAAATAAATAAATAAAGTTAAATAAAATAATTAAAAAAAAAAAAAAGAAAGAAAGAAAGAAAGAGAAGACCATGGACCAGTTGATGGTGTAGAGATTGAAGTGGCTGAATCCCACATGGTCAACTGCATGGTTCAAGTTCTGGCCCCAGCAGCTTGAAAATCATGCTGAGTGTGTGTGCATGTGTGCCTAAAATCCCAAGAGGAAAATGGAGGAGAGGGGATTGAGGTAATTTCCTCTGTGGTCATAAAATGTAAAAACATGTAAGTCACAGGTAGCCTTTGGGGTTTTCCTTAAGAAGCCAACTAATTTTAAGTGTTATGCTTTGTAGCTTCCCATAAAGTGTGACTTTTCACTTGGTTGATTAGTGGTTCAGTGAGCAATTATTATTATTATTTTTTTTTTTGGAGAGGTTTTCGCTATAGGGCACGTGTGCTCACCAGACAGACAGAGAGAGACAGAGAGACAGAAAGTGAGAAATCACCCCCGAGAGAGGATGGTCACGCCGCAATCCCTTCTCCTCCATTCTCCTCTCGGGATCTTGGGCACGCACGCACATGCCCCCGGCATGAGTTTTAAGCCACCGGGTCCGGGACATGAACCGCGGTTGACTACGTGGGAGTCCAGCGACATAGCCATTAGGCTAACTGCTGGTTCCCAGCAAGCAACTATTAAACAGGAAGGGATCAGAAATAAGCATCATAAATTTAAACTGAATACTTCACGTTCTTAATGCTAAACTTGAAGGTAAAACAATGTTGTGATTGCTTTGTATTACTCTTTATTTTATTTTATTTTTTTGCTTTTTGCTATAGGATGTGTGTGCTCTTTGGAGAGAGAGAGTGTGTGTGTGGGGGGGAACCTCTCAGGGAGTAAGGCCACACCACAATCCCTTTTCCTCCATTCTCCTCTTCGGATTTTGGGCCTGTATGTACATGTACCAATATGATTTTCAAGCCACTAGATCCGGGATTTGAACTGTGGAGTTGGTCATGTGGGATCCAACACCTTAACCTCCATGCCACCTGCTGGCCCCTGTTTTACTCTTTTAAGAAGTGGAGAAGTCAGAAATCCTGGCTCTTAGGGCCAGCAGATGTCATAATGGTTACCTTGCCCGACTCCTGAGAAGTCAACCACAGTTTGAGTCCTGGACCCAGTGGCTTAAAACTCACACCTGGTGTGTGTGAGTGTGTGCCCAAGACCCCGAGAGGAGAATGGAGGAGAAGGGATTGCAGTGTAGCTACCTGCCTGAGGTGTGATTTCTCGTTTTCTGTCTCTCTGTTGAGTACACACTCCTTATAGCAAAAATCTCTCTCTCTAAAAAAAAGGAAAGAAATCCTGGCTCTTGTTCAAGTTCTGTCCTCAAAATAGACATTCTCAAACTTTTCTGCTAAAGTCCCACTGATAACAGGGGGAAGAAAGCAAACTTGGATCCTACCAGTCAGGGGACTTAGCTTAAAGGACTGTTAACAAGAACCAAATTCATTCTTAAAATTTAAAAAAAAAAAAAAAGTATAATGAAAGACAGCAGGGTGCTGACACTCATCATTTACATTATGTGACACTCAGGCTTTTTAAAAACTACGGACATAATAGGGCCGGATGCTTCAGAGGTCTTAAGTTTTAGCTTTCAGATTGTGCAAACTTTGTATTTTATTACATATTTTTTGCATCTTAATACAAAAATGATGCTTTAAGCTATTTGTCATTGTAGTCCCCTTAGAGGCTTCTGATGTATCTTGTGACAGTCCCAGCATGTAGCCATCATACTGTGGCCCTGGGGCATTTAAATCCAGATGAGAAGTGCTAGAGTGTGGTCTCCCCAAATGAGTGCCTTCTCTGTTTGACTTTTTATTTTTTAAACTTCTCTGCCACTGTCCCAGGTTATAGTTCTAATGACCACTGTTTAAAGAGCTCTTACTGTGTGCCAGGCTCCATGTCATCTTGCTATTATATGCGTAAGTCATTTAAACTCTCATAATCACCTGAAGCTCACGGTGGAGTAGCTTGCCTAAGGCCACACAGACCCTCCCACATAGCCAGCCGCAGTTCAAGTCCTGGACCAAGTGGCTTGCTTTCTCACTTTCTCTCTCACTCTCTCCATATATATATATATATGGTCAAATTCAAATATGTGAATTAATAAATAAAATTAAATAGATAATTTTAAAAATAAATAAATAAATAAATAAAGTGGCAGAGAGGATTCAAATACCTGCCTGCTTGGCTGCACATGCCCATGCTCCTGTCTTTTGGAGTCTAAGGCTGGAGCACCTAGCTGAATGAGTTGTGGCCTCCCAGGGAAGGAGTCTCTTGTAGTACATCTAGAAAGAGCATGGGTATAAAATAAAAAGAGGCAGAAAAGTTAGGATTAGGTCTAGCTCTGTTCCTGACTGGTCACAGGTTCTTGAGGGAGCCCCTTCGTTTCATCTGTAAAATGGGATGGAAAGGTCTGTGAAAGGAACCATGGGAAGAGAAGGTGAGCATTGAGTTGGTGTCCTAGCTTTCTTTCTTGTTCTGTTATTTATCAGCTGTGTCATTTTAGACAAGTTACTAAGACTCCAAGCCTCTTTCCTCACTTCCAAAATGTGAAAAATAATACTCACTCCATAGAGGCGCTGGAGGGGATTAAAGTTAATATACACAAAACCTCCGAAACAGAGTTTGGCATGTAGCAGTTGCTCAATACATGGTGCTCAATAGTCATGATCCTCGTAACAGTAGTATCGACAATAGTACTCATATTTAAAAATTGCGATTATTCAAAGAAGAGATTTCTTTAATGTGAGAACACTATTAAAGCCATCCCTTTATAAGGATTGGAGCTGGAGGAGATCCATCTTCATATATTCTCCAAATAGCTCTGCTGGCTGAAGGTCTGGAGTTCCCACCAATGGATGGGGAGAGAATTAGCCTAGAGAGAGAATACCTGAGCAAGTTGAGGCAAGGGTAAGGAAGGCCTGGGTCCTTCTGCGGAGCAAGTATGGAAGGCAGAGCCTGACTCTTCTTGAATTGGTTCTTAAAGTCTCTCTTGGTTTTAGCATCGGCTAAGTTTGATTCTATGACTCGGCCAGTCTGTCCTAATTCCTTGGTGCGGGAAGGACCTCAGAAGACCACCTGCCAGCATCTCAGTGAGCTTGTGTACTCGCAACTTGGCAGCCACACACAGACACCTCTCAGTCTCAGTGACGGGGATGATCTCAAAACGGTTCCCGGGCCTTGACCAGAGATCCTTCTCCATCTTCCTGTAGGGGCCTGGCAGGCCAGCCTAGAGAAAATTTTCCAAAGCAAGAGGGTGCCCTGAGTGGCCAAGATACTGTGGCTCAGTGGGCTCTTCTCTCCCCCGGCCTTTCCCCCTAAGCAGGAGTCCCAGGCACCTCTCCCAGTTTGGAAAGCAGATTATTTATGGTTTATTTTTGACACCAGATCATCGCTGCCCAAGTTTCATCAATTTGTCACTGTTTTTATTGTCAGCAATTGCCCATAACTGGAGCACATTTAAAATGTCATTGATCTTGGTATTACAGTGTCATAATCTGACAGTAATAGGTGTAGCCAGCACAGGAAGCCCAGGCCCTGAGATTGATGGCATTCAGCACACCAATTATATTCTGTCCATCTAAGTGATAAAAGAGTACGTAGGAGGCATTCAATAGATAAATTAGATATCGCTCCCAATTATGTCCCTTTATTTTATGGAGTCATATGTTCCCCTTAGAACTTTTTTTCATCATTTGGCTTATAAAGGGGCATGACTTGACCCCCCAAAGACCAGGGCTGGCTCCCCTGCCTGCCCTACCTTGGGTTCGCTCCTGATCCCTCCCTGCTTCCTCACAGTCGCTACCCGGGCTCCCTGGAACTCACTGGGGAGCCGCCTCTACAGTGGGGTGAGTGGTACAGGTGTAGACAGAGGAGGTGAAGGTGTCTCAGTGCCAGGAAAGGAGTTGGATCAGGCCTTGAGGAAGGATTGAAGGCCTGGTACTTTATGTAACCCTGGCCAAAGAAATGGAATTGGTAGAGAAGCTATAAAGTGGAATAAGCTCCTCCAGTCTTAGACACCAGTGGAGCCTTCAGATTAGGACAACCAGTGAACAGCTGCAGCTCCGAGGGTGAAAAAGCTGGTTACAATGTTTTTAACCCTCAAGATATGAATCCATCCATGCCCCTGCCTCTAAACCTAAATTGAGCCAATTCAAACCTTTCCTCAGAGGAACCCCTCAGTCTCCCAGACCCCTGCTCCAGCCTGAATCAGATGACTTCCGCAGCTCCTAGCTCTGCCACTGTGATGGGGCATGGTGCCGGCTTTCCTGGGAAGGCAGCAGGCTGCCTGGGTGAGAGCAAGTCCCAGGAGCAGCTGTCTCCAGGAAGAGAGCTCGCCCAAGGCAGGGAAATCTGGCCAGGGAATAGAGCTTCAGTGAGGGGGAAACTGGATTTGGGGCCTGACTTAAAAGCACTTTATACTCTGAAGGCAAGGTTGACCTGATCCAAACCCCTGTCTCCCTATCCCCCCATGTCCTCTTGAAGCTGGCAGGAGGCACAGAGGAGGTCAAGACACCAGGTGGGAAATGGTGACCCAGGTCTATTTACTGAGCTTTGAAAGAGAAAGCGTCCATGACTGGGCTGCTCCCTGTAGCCTGTTGCCATCTCCGTGTTATAAATAATCCTGGCACTAAGTGCCCTGTTACACGGAGGGGAAGTAGTTCTTATGGCGTGAAACCCGAGAATATAGGTCAGAGAAGAGAGATGACCGGAGTGTGGTGGGGGAGACAGGGGAAACAGGTGGGGAGCCATCACCCCAAGGCTCCTCGAGTACACCCCCAAGCTGGTGATAGATGAATTTCTGGAGGAGCGGATGGCATTTCAAGTGAGATGTTTATAGGAAATGAGTGTGATTTAAACAACGTCTTGGCCGATAAACACCAGTCAGCTATGGGGGTGGTAGAGGGCAAGGCAAGGAGTGGAGGAATTGCAGGCCTGGGGGCCCCCAGTGTTAAGTAGCTGTCTGAAGCTCTGCTCAAACACACGCACCAGCTTTGGTCTTAACATGTTTTTAAGAGCTGGTTATGATTTCCTTGAGGGCGGCTCAGATTAAGACTAGAGTGGAGCCCCCAGCTGAGCGCCTTCAATAACTGTCCATCACGTCCTCTTTAGAGACAGCAGCCGCCTCCCCTCGCTCGGCTCAGGGAACCTGTGACGGCTGCCGCGAAGCTCGTGCTCCTCAGCCTGCTCCTTGGCAGTGGCTGCCTTTGCACAGGGCCCTGCCCTGGATGCTGGGGACAGGAATCGAACCCCACCCTCTGAGAGCACTCAGCCTTCAAGGAAATAGAAAACACACAACCTATAAAAAAGAAAGGGAAAAGAGCAAAGGATGAAAGCCAAGGAAGAGGAGCCCATCACCAAATCCAGAACCTGGGCCCTTCTTACCATGTCCATGGTGGTCACCCTGTTCCAAGCGCTCATCTCTCTCATGGGCTAGTGCAGTAACCTTTCAACAAGTCTCCTCGCATCGTCCCTTGCCCCATGCAATCTATTCTAAACACAAACAATAGAAGGATGGTTAGAAAACTGAAGTCCAGGGATCAGCAGTTAGCATAATGGCTATGTCGCTGGACTCCCACGTAGTGGACCATAGTTCGAGTCCCGGACACAGTGGCTTAAACTCATGCTGGGCGCGTGTGCGTGCATGCCCAAGATCCTGAAAGGAGACTGGAGGAGAAGGGATTGTGGCGTGACCATCCCCCCTGGGGAGTGATTTCTTGCTTTCTGTCTGTCTGTCTGGCGAATGCACGCGCCGTATAGCAAAAACCTCTCCAAAAAAAAAAAAAAAAAAAAAAGGAAACTGAAGTCCAATCGTGTCTTTCCTCTTTCCTTCTTGTTTCACTCAGAGTAAAAAGCCAAGTCCTTAGGTTACCCCACAAGGTCCTACATCATCTGGCCCCTCATTAACCGTTTTGATATCATCTCCTCCCACTCTTGCTCACTTCCCTCCAACCGCATTGGCCTTGAGGTTCTGCCATTTGCCAAGCATATTCCTGCCTCAAGGCATTTGCACTTCCTATTCTACTTGGAATACTCTTGCCAAGATATGTGTAGGATTTACTTACTCTTTCACCTGTAAGTCTTTGTTCGCATCCTATAATCTCACGGGAACCTCCTTGATTACCATATTTAAAATCTCTGGTTTCCCCTCTATCCTGATTCCTCTTTTCTTGATCTACTTTTCCCCGCTATAATAATGATCACTGTCTAATACAAGATACCATTTACTTATTTAGTAAGTATATTATCTGTCTCTGTGTGGAGAATATAAATTTCACACAGACAGGGGTCTTTTTCTCTTTTGCTAACTAATGTGTTCCAAGAACCTGGGCTAGTGCACAGTGAGTAAATGCAAAGGATGAGGTTAAGCAGAGCAAGATTTGGAGGGAGGTCGGAGGGAGGCCATCAGGTGTGGGGTTAACTGTGCTCCCTGTCACAGCAGGCCATGAGTGAGAATCTGGGAGTGTGAGTGATGAGCACAAACGCAAGGGTTGGACTTGGGCATCACCAAAAACAGGGAGATTCAGTTGGCAAAGGACTAGCCTGAATTTGCACCCTGATTCAGGTGGAGGACTTGGCTTTAGGTTGAGATACTACCATCTTCAAACCAAAGTATACTTTATTTATTTAGTTAGTTTTAAATTTGTTATGGGTTTGTGTACCTCCTGGGGAGAAACCAAAAGAGAGATAGAGAGAAGGGGAAAGTGAGAATCCCCCCCACACACACCCCAGGGAACAGCCACACTGCAATCCCTTCTCCTGCAGTCTCCTCTTGGGATTTTGGGAACAGACGCATGTCCAGTGCATTTTTCAAGCTTCTAGATCCAGGACTTGAAATACACATTCTCCCACGGGGCATCCAGTCACCTTAACCGCCACACCACTGGTGGCCCCCAGCGTATACTTTGGGATGATAGTACCAAAGGGGTGTGCAGGGCAAGAATGAGGTGGTTGAAAATGGAGGTTAGACTAGGTTGAAGAGTAGAGAGGGCTGACAGAGAGGTAATGAGGGGCCAGATAATACAGGTAGGTAAACCTAAGGAAGTCCTCCAGGTAGTGGGCATAGCTGAAAGACAGCGGAGTAAACTAGCAGCTTCTGAATCTGGAAAAAGACCAAGGTAGGGAGGTGGGAAGGAGGGGATCAGGGTAAAAACAAAATAAAACAAAACACTTCATAGACACAAAAATGAGAGGTTATCTGTGGATGATAACGTATATGGTAATGTCTTTGACTTGACTAATTGGCATTCATGCTGGGAAAAAACATGTTGTGCACTGTAAAGAAGCACAGTGGTTGGGACCAGCAGTTGGTATAATAGCTATGTTGCTGGACTCCCATATAGTTGACCGCGGTTTGAGTCTCAGATCCGGTGGCTTAAACTCACACTGGGCGTGTGTGCATGACTGCCCAAGAACCCTAGAGCGGAATGGAGGAGAAGGGATTGCAGCGTGGTGATCTCCCTTAGGCGGTGATTTCTCGCTTTTTGTTCTCTGTCTCTCTGTTTTTCCAGCGAGCACACATGCCCTATAGCAAAAAATAAATAAAATAAAAAGCCTCTTAAAAATAAAAGTACAGGGAACCAGCAGTTGGCGTAATGGCTATGTCGCTGGACTCCCACGTAGTCGACCGCGGTTCGTGTCCCGGACCCGGTGGCTTGGAACTCACGCCGGGCGCGTGTGCGTGCGTGCCCAGGATCCCGAGAGGAGAATGGAGGAGAAGGGATTGCGGCGTGACCATCCCCCCTGGGGGGTGATTTCTCGCTTTCTGTCTCTATGTCTCTCTCTGTCTGTCTGGCGAGCGCACGCGCCCTATAGCGAAAATCTCTCCAAAAAAATAAATAAATAAATAAAAAATAAATAAAAGTACAGTGGTTAAATGTAAATAAAAAATATAAAAACAAAAATTTAAATTTTTAAAATTTTATTTATTCATTCATTTATTTTAATTTGGCCAGAGATAGAGAGAGAGAGAGAGAGAGAGAGAGAGAGAGAAATTGCAAAAGCAAGCCACCAGGCCCAGGACTTGAACTGTGGTGGGCCACATGGGCGTGTCCAACACCTTAATCACCATGCTACCTGCTGGTCCCCAATTTAAACTTTTTTAAAAGGGAAAAGATCAAGGTGAAATTGCAGTGCCTAAATAAATATGGTTTATGCAAGTGGGAGGGGGAAGCTGAGTCAACAGAGGCTATCATTTCAAAGAGGATGGTCCATCCCCACTGAGGGCAGAATATAAAACCATGGGCTGTGCCCAAGAGTTCCTTCCTAGAAGGAACTGGAGTTACATATCAAGAAAGATCTCCCTGGGACCAGCAGATGATGTAGTGGTTACGTCGCTGGACTCTCACGTAGTCGACTACAGTTTGAGTCCTAGACCCGGCAGCTTAAAACACACTGGGCGTGTGTGTGCATGCCCAAGATTTTGAGAGGAAAATGGAGGAGAAGGGATTGCAGTATGGCTATCCCCACCCAGGGGGTAATTTCTTGCTTTCTGTCTCTCCAGTGAGAACACATGCCCTATAGCAAAAATCTCTCTTTGTTTTTTTTTTTTTATTTGAGAGGTTTTTCGCTACAGGGCGCGTGTGCTCGCCAGACAGACACAGAGAGACATAGAGAAAGAAAGTGAGAAATCACCCCCCAGGGGGGATGGTCACGCCTCAATCCCTTCTACTCCATTCTCCTCTCGGGATCTTGGGCACGCATGCACATGTGACCGGCGTGAGTTTTAAGCCACCGGGTCCGGGACGCAAACCACGGTTGACTACGTGGGAGTCCAGCGACATAGCCATTACGCTAACTGCTGGTTCCTGCGAAAATCTCTCTTAAAAAAAAAAAAAGAAGAAGAAAATCTCCCAATCATGCAACAAGTGGTAGTGGAAAGGCAGGGAGGCTTGTTCTCTGGAAATCTGAGCAGGACCCAACAGGGAGCACACTTCAGTCAGGCTAACACAAAGGGCCTTGTGAGTCTGCCAGGCTCTGAGGTAGGAGTGTGGATGGCTAGAGGCCTGGAGAGGCCCCACCTCAGCCTGGCCCCAAACCTACCCTCTTACTTGCAAGACTTCTCAACTCCCAAGGCATGCAGCCATTGATCCGCTCTCTGCCCTAGTTTCTGCATTTTACCAGTCTGGGAAGGGGAAATTGAGAGTAGTTAGTCCACCAAGGCCCCACCAGTCCATGTGCATCTCTCTACCACTGCTCTCCAAACATCATTGTCCCCTCAGCTCTATGGTGGCTTCATGGTTCAAGCCAAGAAAAGGAAAAAAAAAAAATATGTATCTTTGGGGCCAGCCAGGTGGTGTGGTAGTTAAGGAAGCTGGATCCCACATGGCTGACTCTGTAGTTCAATCCAGGACCTGTCAGCTTGGAAATGACATTGGCCCTGTGTGCATGCATGCCCAAAATCCAAAGAGGAGAATGGAAGGGAAGAAATTGTAGGCGACCATCCCTGCCGGGGATTTTTCACTTTCTGTCTCTCTCTCTCTCTAGCAAGTGCACATGTTCTATAGCAAAATTAAAAAGGCCTTGGAGACCTGAGGATGGGAGGGAGACTTACATATCATTGCGTAATTTGTTGCTTTTTAAGTTTTGAACCATGTACCCCTATTTCCCTTTCAAAAATAAAATAATTAGGGGGCTGGCAGGTGGTGCAATAGTTAAGGTACTGGACTCCCACATGGCTGACTGTGGTTCAAGTCCCAGAACTATGGCTTGCTTTCTCACTTTCCCTTTCTCTCTCTGTCTCTCTCTGGTCAAATTAAACATAATAACAGTAATAACAAATAAATAATTCCTTAAAAAATAAAATAATTAAAATCAGACAAAAGCAACAACAGTAACAACAGAAAACATATTTAGGAAAGTGGGAATGAGATGCCTTCTACTGTTACCCTGAGGAAAATGACCTTCCTGACCACGTGCACTCTCCTCCTCATCTGGTATCTGCACTCTCTAGAGGCTCAGAGGGAAGCATGACCAGCCTGATGCCACCCAGCATTTAAAGTTGGCAAAGGGCTGGGGATCACTGCCAGTGTTGGCTTTCTCTTCTGGTCTTCAGTGGCCAGCTCCCATTGACCACCCAGGTCATTTGCAGAACTGTTTATGTGCTATAGACCCACCTCCAGGGAGAAAGTCATCTCTTTACAGAGCTCTCCTCTGTCCCTGGTGTGGTGTCTGGCAGTTTATTCCCTTCCTTCCTGTCTCCCTCCTCCCCGCCACCAAAGTGACTCTCTGCTCAAACTTTGCCCTGCCCTTGATGAAACTTCTGATCGCAAGCAAGTCATTTAACCTTTGTGTGCCTCTGTTTCTTCAACTATAATTGAAGATCCTGACCTTCCTCCTGAGCTCTTCATTCATCCATTTACACAACAAGCAAAGGCTCCTTGCCCAGCACTGAACTAGCGCAGAATATCACATGAGACCACGCATGTGAAGTTAGTAGTAAGACAGAGTTATTGCCAAGGCTTCCTTCATTGGATGGTCTTCTGGACTGGGTGCCCCAAGCCCTCACCTGGCACACCCTTGGAAGAACCACTTCACCATCTACTCCCAACCTCGCAATGGCTAGCTCCGCTCCTGGGGCAAAGCTGCCATCCTGCTCTGGATGAAGCGCCAGGAGCTATAGAAAGAGCCTATTTCCCAAGTCATCTCCATTTACTTAGGGAAACATTTTGCCTGCAACAAGTAATAATGCAGAAATTTGTCTGTGGGCCTTTAATCTGGGACTTCAAAATGGTCTACTTCTCTTGACCTCTGGGGGCCTATTCCCTGGGAGTTGGGGCTGGAACAGGGGTAGGAAATGGAATCTGTTATGTTCCAGCTCAGCTCACCTGTCCTGGGTCCCAGGCCTCACTGGAGGATTGGTACAGAGCTCAGATTCTGGAATTAGAAACTCTCACATTTGCCTTTGTCCAATTGTAGTCTGTGCTGTGGATGAAGCCAGCTTTTTAAAAACAATTGCCAACACCTCAGAGGGTACAGAGCTTGTTTCCAGAGCTCTTGGTGGGAGGCTGTACCCACTCCGTCTGACCATTGAGGACTGGCTGAGCATCACTGGGAGGGAGGGATATTTGCAGAAAAAAATAAAGTGCTGCTTCATCCCTGTCACAAAATCCCAAGTCAAAGTGCTGCTGATAGGCCATGGTAGCAAGGAAGGGTTGGATTTAGACAGAGAGGCATTTCTGGTTGTCAGGAAATGGGTTTAGGTGGAGAGGTGGTGGAGAGTTAGATGGAACCACTCAGACACAGTCTTCCCAGAGGAAGGAGGAAGGGAGGGTGGTCTGGGAGTTACAACGGATGTGGGGGTTCCCCAGTGTGGTGGAGGAAGTCAGGTGGAGCCACTTCATCCACATCTGGAGCACAAATCCCATGGACAGTGGTATCTGGGACCTCAAGATGCCCAACACAATGCCTTATGCAGGACTGACCGGGACATCCAATGAGGAGAACATGTGGGTGGCCACTCCATACTTGGGGAAGGACAGTTGCATTCAAGTCCCAGAAAAAAAATGGTTCCAGATGTGAGACCTGGAGGAACTTCACATACAACCTCAATCCTGCTTATACAACCTCAATCCTGCTTATTGCAGTTTGAGTTGATCTCACTGCAGCCGGTGGGGTTTGCTTCCAGGGACAAACTGAGCAGAGAGTAAGAGCCTTGCTTTCAGCTTTCAGGCCTGGCCTGTTGGCTGTGTGAGACAGAACAAGTGGTCAAACTCTAAGCACCCGTCTGGGGAGTCTTGTGGGAAGTGGGGGAGGAGGGTGCTTCTGTGCAACCACCACACTCCATGAGATAGAAGCAGAACAAAGGCAAGGAGGTTCAGTGCCCAGGAGAGGTGGGGCCAGGGGCCCCTCCTGGCTAGGGCACAGGGGGCATCTCTGGGGAAAGACGCAGCTTCCGGAGGGCAGGGTCAGATTATTTCCACAGCCCCAGTGCCCAGTGCAGAGCACATGCTCAAAACGCATGGTCCTTGGGGCCAAGAGCTGGCCCAGCAGAAACTGGAGTAGGTCTGGATAAGGAAACTGAGGCCCAGACAGGCCTGTTTCTTCATCTGTAAAAGAGGGGTTTACAGTAGATGATCTCCAAGGTTGCTTCACTCCGGATGATCTGTGGTTTTCTATTTCCCTGACCTTTTCTCGTTTTCTTCCCCTTTAAGTCCTCCTCTCCCACTTAATGCCCCTACTCTCTGCACACACCTCCCTTTCCCAGTCTCCCCCTAACCCAAAGCTTTCTCTCATTTTCTTCTTTTTTTTTATTTTTTGCCATAGGGCACTGTGGTGTGGGTGCCTCCCCAGAGAGAGACAGCGAAGGGGAAATCACCCCCCAGGGCAGATGGCCATGCCCCAATCCCTTCTCCTTTATTCTCCTCTTTGGATTTTGGGCACTCCCTGCACACACACCCGGAGTGATTTTCAAGTCGCCAAGAAGGGGAGTCTACAGTTGGTCGTGTGGGCGTCCAGTGCGTTAACCATCACGCCATCCCACTTTCTTCTTACTGGTGTTTCTCCACTCCCAACTTCTAGAGATTCCTCCCGCCACTACCCCAGCTCTCCCAGGTGCCTTCTGTGATGGGGCCCGCCCCCGCGCCCATTTCAGTGCCCCCTTCCGCAACGTTACATCCCAGAGGGGGAGACTGGAAGAACTGAAGGGATCCTGGACCAGCCTCTCCGCTGCCCCTTCAGCGGCCCCACCGCGGAGACCCCTCCCCTGCCCGCCCAGGCGGAGCGTGGCCGCCGCCTCTCCCCAAGCAGCCGGTGCCGCACTGCGCCCTCGCCCCACGCTAATGCGATCTGGAGAGACCCGGGCGGGCGGCGGGCAGTCTGGCCCGAGCGTCCCGGGCGGCGCTGATGGATGGTCCCCTGACAGTAATCGCAGAATGAGGACGCGCTGGCGACGCTCTCGCCCGAGGCCCTGCTGTTTGGCGAGCCCGGGAGTCCCGCCCTGCGCTGCTCCTACCTCCCAGGCGCTCTCAATTCGCTGGGCTGTGGGGAGGCCCGACGCCTCCAGGGTAGGGACCAGAGGGGGGCTTTCTCTGCCTTTCTCCCCTGCTGCTTTCTGTCTCGGAATCCTCTATGGAGCCACGTTGTGTCTGTAATTCGGAACAAGCTGTTCGTTTCCTTGAACCTCAGTTTCCCCCTTCGGATAATGAAAAATAATGCTCTTTTAAAGCCTGGATTCAGAGTGCAGGGAGCACAGGAGAAAACGCTGAGGAAAATAACCACTCTCCCTTAAGTAGAAATCGATTCTTTCTTTTTAGTTTACAGTGCTCAGAACAATCTGGCCCAAAGGATGACGCTGAATAAGGGCTGAGTAACCACAGAGTTAAGTGTCGCAAATATGCGTGTATACGTGTACACAAATATACGTGTATACGTGTACACACGTCATAATGCTTTTAGGCTAAAAAGTACACCTGAAAGTAAGAAAAGGCAGCATCGGTCACGCTGAGCCCTCTGTGATGAGAACAGCAGCTCAGATGTCTCCCCAAGGAGGCGACTGCTTCCAGCAGGGCTGTCTCCTGGCTCTCCTCACACCAGTCCAAGCTCCCAGTCCCCATCTGCACTTGGGGCCCCTGCAATCCAGGACTCGAGCCAAGGTGGTGTGAGGGAGGGTGCCTCTTGGGAAAGGCTTTTGGACAATTTCTCAACCCCTCACCCACTTTAGGTGACAATCTCTTCTGAGGCTCCTTCATCCCTCTACCTCCAGGAGATCCCCCACTGGGTATGGCCCTGTAGAGGGCCTGGGGTGGGGATCCAGAACCAATAACAATTCTCAGAGTACGCCCAGATGCCTCCTCACCCCCTTTTAACCTTTCCCTCTCATCAGAAGCTAAATTGAGTTAGTCTTGAGTTTTTATTTAATTCCTGAAATGGGGTTATAATCTGCTTAGTGTCCTTTTTCCCAAGTCCTGGGTACTGAAGTGTGTGTGGAGGGGGGTGGGGGGAAGAGTTCATGAGACGGTAGCTCTGTGGCCTCTGGAGCCCCTTCATACGCTCACCTCTCAGACAGCACCAAAGAGCAAGGAGCAGCACAGCCTTGAGTGGCCGAGGGGGACGGCGCTGGGGATGCGCATTGCCCAGGTGCCAGGGCTGAGCTGGGCACTGCACCTGCATTTCTCACTTCACCCTCACAGCCACCTTCACTTGGCATCATTCAGATTCCCAGTTTACAGAGGAAGACACTGAGGGGGACGGCGCTGGGGATGCGCATTGCCCAGGTGCCAGGGCTGAGCTGGGCACTGCACCTGCATTTCACTTCATCCTCACAGCCACCTTCACATAGGCACCATTCAAATTCCCAGTTTACAGATGAAGACACTGAGGCTCATCCTGCAGCTGTGAAGTGGCAGAGCCCACGCTGGAAACTACAGTCTGAAGGCAGAGCCTGTGCTCTTAACCACTTAGCTGCATGACCCCAGGCAAGACATTTAACTTCTACAAGCCCCAGTCCCGACATCTGCAAAACATAGATAAGAAAGAGGCATAGTGGGTAAGACACTTCCTTTACAGGGTTGTCCTGTGGATTAAATGACATCAGGCATTCACCATAGTCACAGTGAGTATTCAATTGTTTAGGTGCCCTGAACCTTGGGGTGGGGTTGGGCAGGAGGAAAGGTACAATGCAATGCAATGGGGTGACTTGCTATGAACTGTTACTATCGATAGTAATAGTTATCCTGTATTGAATGCCTACTGGGCGCAGACCAGCTCACAAGGTCAAAGTTGCTATGCCTATTTTACAGATAAAGACACTGAGTTTTAGATAAATTAAGAAAATCTCCTAAAATCATCCCGTGTTAATAAGTGGCAGAATAGAACTTGTATTCAAACACAAAGCCCTTGAATTCAAAGCCTACTGCTCCTAGCACCCCGTGGAGACTGGTCTCTCTGGGGGGTGGTCAGAGCTGAGGTCAAACAAGCCCAGGTCTCACCTTCTACCACCTGTGACCTGATTCTTTCCAGGTGAGCAATGTTTTCTTAAAAGAGCAGGAGAAAAGTAAATAAAGAAACAACTAGGACAGTTTCTCCCTCCCCCAAAACCAATGTAGACCATCCCTCCACCCCACACCCCTATTCTCCCTACTCCCCTCTTTCCTCTGTGCTCAAGTTTGTGGCCATTAAATAGAAGAAAGTTTGAATCAGGCATGAAATATTTATCAGTTAATTACAATATGCAGATTCTGTTCCCGGGGGTGATTTATCTTTTTGGAAATATAGGAAAAGATCCTGGAAACTTGTATCCTAATTGCTTGGCCTATTATTGTAGCAACCAGGTAGAAACTCCATTTACTATATAACTACAAATTTTCCCACTACTGGGGGTAGCTGCCTCTGCCTCTGTCACTGGTGGTCTTGGGGCCATATGATTTTCTAATGAGAGAGGAGCCTCTAAGAGGTCAATTTGTCCATCCTCCTGCTTCTTCTTCTTCTTTTTTTAAAGAATTATTTTATTTAACTTTATTTATTTATTTTACCTTGACCAGAGAAGGGGAGAGAGAGAGAGAGAGAGAGAAAGCAAGCCACCAGGTCTGGGACTCGAACCGCAGTCAGCAATGTGAAAGTCCAGCGCCCTTAACAGCCAAGCCACCTGCTGCCCCCCTTCTAAAAATTATTTTATTTAACTTTATTTATGTATTTTTCTTACCTCTTGTCTCTTCTTGGAGAGGCCCCTTTTTTCATCTTAGCAGCTGTAGGAAATGAAAAGGACGAGTGTCTCAGAAATTCTGGACCTCAAGTGAAGCTAATTCTGACACTCTCCCCACGGAGCCGCTCCAACTGGCGAGTGGGAGCCCCGTGCTGAGAAGCTCTCAGCTACATATCCTTCTTCTCCTTGCTCTGGCAGACATGGTGGCCCTCCTCTTACCTCTTATGCCACTTCCTCGGGCCTAGATCTCAACCTCTGGTGGACACTGGGGAGCTTTAAACTACCCAGGAGCCTGGACCCTACTGCAGGCCTCACAAATGAGCATCCTGGAGGCGGGACCTAGGCATCAGTATTTCCAAGCACTTCTCAGGGGGTTCTAGTATGCAGCCAAAGTGGAGATCCACTAAGGCTAATAGAAGGGAATGGCTGCCTAGTAAACTGGCCCTGCTTATCTGCAAGACTATGTCGTTTTTATCCTTGCCTCTCAGGTGCCGCAGGAGGCAATTCCTTCAGTTTCATTGGAATCCAAAGAGCATTCCTTGCTCTCTTCACAAGACGCTTCTAATATTAATAACTACCATTTATCAAGTCC